ACATGACAAGTTAAAAAAAAACATAGACCCACAGGAGTAATGAACATTCTGATGATGCTCTAACAAAAAATGTTCACCAAGCATTCACTGAAAATACTGATGTCTATCTTAAAAAACCATTATGATACTCACCATATGGAGATCATCAGGCAGATCAACACAAAGACAAAGAACACTGGAAGGATGATAATCCAATTAGCAGTTTCTGGAAGAAAAAAAAAATACGTTGCATAGGAACATACGGATATATAAAACAAAACAAAAAAGGAATGTGAATTATTGATGGGGCTTGTATTGTAGATAACTGATATGGAGAAGCAATAGTTATGGTGCCAGCTTTTAGAACATCACATGATGTGGTCCTCATATTTTTAAAAAGTAGTAATAATCACCTTTAAAACTAGGAATGGTGACTGACGATCTCTGAGTCCCCAGGTCATTTGTAGCCTCACAGTAATACTCTCCCCCCTCAGTAACTTTGAAGCTGTAAACCTGCCCCACAGATACATTAATGGCTCCTTCTGTGCTGTTCCAGAACCAGGTGAAGCTGGCAGGAGGCTTGGCTCTGCTGGAGCAGCTCAGCTCCACCCAGCTACCTGCTGACACCAAACCTGATGGACTGATGGATGCTGAGGTGTCTTTAGGAGCATCTGAGGAAAATGGGACACACATTAACGTTATTGATCAGAAACAGCTGAACCATGACGTGCTGACAGGATCACTAACATGAAACACTGAGAGTCACTTCTGTCTCTGCTGTCTTGCTTCCTCCATTCACAGGATATCTAGCAGAACAGCTGATGTTGTATCCATCATGTGTGTCTGACAGAGTGATGGTCTCCTGGATCTTAGTTGTAAAGGTTCCATCTGGGTTTTTCTCTGTTTGTCTCTCAGAGTCTTGTGGGAGATTCCAGGTGAGTTCAGGAGGTGAGTGTGGACAGGGAGTCAAAGCTGAGCAGCTTATAGTGACAGAATGATGCTCCTTCAGATCACCAACAGGGATATTAATGCTGGGACTCCAAGGAGAATCTAGAGGTTCACATCAGACAGACATTTTAAACCAGTGATGTAACGAAGTACAAGTACTTTGTTACTGTACTTAGGTAGATTATTTTATTTATTTGTACTTTACTTAAGTAGATTTAACCAAGGATACTTTCTACTTTTACTCCAATATGATTTACATAAATTTCAATTCCACTACAATTTCTGATGATTTGTGTCACATTGTGTTTTTCATTTATTTGTTTAGTTTTGTTGGAAGTTTTAAAGTAATCAAATGCTAGATGGGGATTGGTTCACTCAACAACTGCAAGGCGGACAAGTAATATTGGACCCGCCTCCCCCAAGAAGAGCCCCATTCCATGGCAACATGCATCCAGCCCGGATAGTCAGCCAACAGAATTTTCCATCCTTGGCCTTATTTGAAATACTTATCCTCTTTAATTGGCTCAAAAAATGACTCCCGGAGATTCCAATTCCACTTTGTCTCCCCTGAAGGCACAAGCTTCTAGCTTTCAAAAACTCACACTCAAATAAAAAAAAAAAATTTAGGTAAGTCGCTAAATGCTAAGTTTTTGCATGTGAAAGACATAACTAAAAGCTTAGCTATCTTTTACAAAAGTGCTAATGCCGAGAAGTGAACATGATTAACATGCATAATGGTCGGGTTCTTCATCTATGTTTGCTTTGATGCTTATCAGTGTGTGTGAACACTGAGAGAAGTCACTATATCAAACCACAATCCAGACCTCTTTAGCTTCTTTAAAAAAATAACACACTACGAATCTAGCATTGTTTTCCCTTTGTTATTGGAGAAGCACCATGCTATTTTCAGTTGGGGCGCTGCACAGATGCCTCTAGCAACACCTGCCTGGACTAATGGAGAAAGCAACTCTTTCAGGTTCCATTATTTCAAATAAATCACACATGTGCAAAGCTGTGAAATGTACTGCTCTGGAATATAAAGAAAAATATAAAGCATAATCGTATATAATCTTGAATATGCATTTAATCCATACATCATAATTACTTATTTAACTCCCTTTTTTTTACGTTTCTGGTTTGCCAAATTTCACTACAAATTCAAAATTTTACGCTAGATAATAGTCCTGATCAGCTTTTTTGATTGCTATACACTGCAAATAAAGTCAGACTAAGCAGATGCACATTCATCTGGCTAATGAAATCATATTGATCATGTGTTGAGTCAGATAATCTTAACAAAGAAACTGATAGATTAGTTAATTTCCATATGTGAATTCTTCATTTGATTCTGTATAGTCTTATCCAGTTTGTTTAAATTCTGATTAAAACGCACTAAATCTTTTTCAAAGCACATCACTCATCTCCAGCAATATGTTGCTCTCACTGCTATTGCCACCGAAAGGACGGAACCTGAAACCAGAGAAGGGGAACTCCGCCCTTGAAGTTTCGTGTCCTTCAATTTTTACATTTTTGAATGATGCAAGACGTTCTCAGAGTTGTACAGTATTTTTAAATCATGAAGTTCATGATTAAACTGGAGTTAAAGATTACAGTTGAAAAGATCAGTTTCTGTTAGTCAGTGAGATTGATGTAGAAATTTGCTAATCTAACTTCAGATTAAATAAAACATGGCATATGTTTTGTTTAATTAAACACTTTAAAACGTGTAATGTGATATTTCACTAAGCAGATCAATCAAAAATTGTAAGTCCCAAGTAAGAATTTTGACAAACAAAACAAACAAACAAAACATGCATTATTCACAGCATGTTCATTAAAATAGTATTATTGGAATATTAATGAAAATTTACATATTGTAGGTACACTTAATAATCTTTGTGAAACATAATTTCAGTTAATTTAGTAAGTACTTTTAATACTTCAAGTATTTTTAAAAACATGCTTTGTTACTTTTATCTTAGTACAATGTCAGTGTGTTATTTTTATTAGAGTATTTATTTGTTTATTTGTACTTGTACTTAAGTACGGTTTCTGAGTACTTTTCGCCAATGTTTTAAAATAATAAAACAAAATAACTTATATTTCTAATTATTATTATAAAGAGGAGACCAAGACAGTTCATTTTTAACAGTTTATGTGCATCAAAATATGGTTTGTTTGTTTATTTTTTTTCTTTCAGTATTTATTAGATTTTAGAAATAACTTAGTAACTGACTGATAATCTGTTTCTACGTATAAATATTCAGGCAAAAAGTTTGATCTGGTAACTGAAAGGTGTTTAAAAAGTTAAGAACTGCAAACTGAAATATATATATAAAAAAAAGTATTATTAGATTGTTAAACTGTCATGTATGAAGCAGATAGAAACTACGGTCTGCTTTTATTGAGGGCAACTATAAAATCCGACTAAATATTTATCCCAGCCCAAACAATTACAGTACAATAGGGTGATTTAACATGATTTAAAGATAAATTCAAATTGCTCTGAACCCCATAAAACAAAGATAAGTAATGATTCAAATACATATATAAAACGATGAAATGTTCCATATCTTATATCTTATACAAAGAAGAATGTTGGTTTTCTTAATTTTTAAAAATGTACCTATGGAATGGTAAAAAAATATTCCTAAGTAAAGGCAAATATGACATAAATATCAAAGATCATCATTAACATGTTAAGTGAACAGCTAGAGATTTTTTATCATTTGACGTTTTTTTTGTTGATAAAATGTTAATATAATATGAGTTGAAACTGATGTATTTTTCTTATTTGGTAGAGTTGTGTAAAGTAAAATTCTTACCTTTGACTTTTATCTGAAGAGCTTTAGAACAAGCTGTTGCCTTGTAGACTCCATTCTCTATTCTGAGGTAGTATTTACCTGCTTGACTTGTCTTTATATCAGCGAACAAAGTGGTGCAGTTTTTCCTACTCAGGTCTCCAGTTATTTTTATCTGAGCGCTATTAACTCCATGATTGATGTTAAAGATTCCTTTATCACTTTTAATCCATGCTCCAGTGGTGTTTCGTTCACTGTTAAATTCATTGTCTCCTTTTTCAGCTCTGAAGCTACATGGCACATGCAAGCAAGATCCACTCAGTGCTTCAACAGGCTTTGGTGTAGTAATGAAGACAATCGCTTTGTGTCTATTGTTACATTTATCAGCATAAATACCTGTAAAAACATAAAAAAGACTGAAGTTGACAACAATGTGGAGCAAAATCTGCTTTTACTGAAACTTCATGATCCATGAACTCCAGTTAAGCTGCAACACGTTGCATTAGGAGATTTTATACATTATTAGGACCTATTGATCGAGACGAGAGGGGATCATTCAGAGATGTCAAAAAGTATGACGTCTCTGAATGAAATGAGTGAACAAAGATCTCACCTGGAAGAGCAAAGACACTCAGTACCATGCTGACTGCAATTATGTCAATCATGTTCTTAAACAGAGCTGCCATCAGTATCTGATAGTCCTTTATCTCTTAGCCTAGAAACATAAAGATACCATCTCATTTAAATAAAACTAAGGGGTATTTTGCACAAAAAATGAAATATAAACTTTTATATCAAGAAATACTTCAAAAGATTACATTTGGATCTGGATTATGAATATGTAAAAAATGAGCTTACCAATAACAAAAGTTCCCACCAGGTAAATTCAGTGGCAGAAAGTCCTCAAATCTTAATTCAAATATTCATCTATGTGTTCCAGTCACTCTGCAAATAACTTCTGCGGAAAAGCAACATTTATTTTAAATTAGATTCTTGCAGCTCTTCCTTTTTCTTGAAAAAGAGGATGTTAGAGCGTCTTCTGCTTATCAAAGTTCGACTGATTTCTTTTCAAGACAATCATACAGTTTTTTTCCACTGTTTAATTAAAGACAGCCAGAATAGTGTTGCATTTTGGAGGGGATAGTTGTAAGATAAAATGTTTGTTTAATTTCATAATATATTTTCACCAGAATAATACATGTTAAGGACAGAGAAGAGCTCTTCTACTGGTACTTTGATAAATTTCTTCACGAGTAACATTAGCATACCTTATGGCTTACTTAGCTGCACATTTCAATTCTATTGTTGAGATATTTTGCTATACCGAGGTTCATTATGAACTGAAAATAATTCTCCATGCTTTTGTTTAATGTTTGGGTAATTGTAATGCACTATGCTCTTATCGCTAACAAGTGTGTGCTCCAGGGGTGATTCTAGGATCAGAAGTTTAGGGGAGCTGAGCCCCCAGAGAGCTGTCTCTATGTATTCTACATACATTTTCTACATTTTAGGAACTTCCTTAGTGCCTTTTGCCAAATACCTGAGTAGGACAACAGAAAGCTGCACTTTTTTGAGAAGAATATTCCAGTCATATAAAGCTATTGAACTAGTTTTTACTGAAAGCCTCTTTTATATGTGCAAAACTGAGTGAGCGGGTACTTGAACATTTCTAACTGTTTAAGACCAATGGTCTAAATACAAAGGCAGATTTTGAGATCCTTTGCTTGAAGGATCTCAAATAAGGATCTCTTATTCTCCTTTACTGCTCTTCTCTGTCTCACTTACCTGTTCTTCTCTTACTTCTATAGTGAAATTAAGCAAGTGGAGCAAACATGCATGCAAAGCAGGACTTATAACGTTAATGATCATCCAGTTAACTTGTCATTAGTAGCACCATGTCTTTTATAAACATGTGCATATGAAAGCAGCAAGCTTTTCTCATTTCAGTCAGAATGGAATACCTTTAACATTAGCTAAATCCTAAATAAACATATAAAGATTAACTTAAGTTTAAACGCAGGTTTCTTAGCACCTTCGCAAACTTAATGTTGGCATTGGTTGGTTACAGAAGGATTTCTTAACTTCTGAATGAATCTGGAAGTGGAAAGAACATAATTTCACAATAAAACGACCACGACCAGCTGCTCCTCGCATGATTTCTGACAGAGGAGTGAAAATAATTATCAGAAGACCACCTTTGACGAAATTCAGAAAGTCCTGGAATTACCAGGTAAATTTGTTTCAAAGAAAACAATAAGTAATGCACTCAGCCGCAATGGCCTGTATGCAGGCTCACCACGCAAGACTCTATTACTGAAGAAAAAGCATGTTGAAGCTCCTTTATAGTTTCCTGCACAACATTTGGAAAATAAAGACTCAAACTTACTGCGGATCCAGACATTTGAATTGAGAAAGCTTCCTGGAGGGGAAGCGAAACGTCTTCAAATCTTGGAAACCAAGTCCAGTGGATTGTTTTTTAAACTTTTTACGGAATGACTATGACCTGGATGACTAAGAATCTTCATCAGCATACTGCACAACATTTAGACAAGCCTGGGAAATACTAGGGGAATATAGTTTTGGGGAAAAATTTTTTTGAGATATGTCTGTTCTTAGCCTCACAGACTCCAAAAGACGGTCATGAGAGATAAGAATGTGTTTACACAGCCTCCTTCATGGCATGAAGTGGAGGACTGCTGTTTTGAGAAGATCCATCTGGCCAATGTTAGTCGGGAGAAGGATAAATGAACAGGGAATGGCCTTGATGAATGAAGTTGTTTTTTCCTCCAAATGTTTGTGTGTGAGAAAGTTCTTTATGCAGGGGTGGGATAGTTTCAAAGGAGTGTGTGTTGGAATTGTGTGAGGTATAAATGTGTGTGCTGGGTTTTTCCCCAGTCAGAGCATTTCTCTCTGTCTATGGACGTGAAATATATCTTTATTTTTGCAAAAATTTGTTTCTGCCTCAGCTTCCAAACTCCACAATAGTCTAGTCAGATGAGACCAAAATTGAACTCTTTACAGTAGATGCCATAATACACATCATTTTTGGAGGTCAAACAGCAGTGCACATCATCCCAAAAACACCATACAAACAATGAAGTTTGGAGGTGGGAACATCATGGTTGTATTTTACCATGATATTGGCAAACTTTAAATAATTGAAAGAATGGTGAATGGAAAAATGTACACAGACATTCTTGACAAAAATCTGCTGCCATCTACCAGGATGATGATGAAACGTGAGTGGACATTTCAGCAAGACACACACATGCATTCTATTTATCATTACCAGTCATTAAAGTCAACATTGGATCATTCAGAGATCAACACTGATTTTGAAGAATGTAGATTTCTGGCAGGCTTGCAGAATAGAAGCAATTCGACTGCCTTATGTAGTCCTATTCATGGCCTCATGCTCGTTTGGCAACAGAGAGAATGCAGCATATAGAAAGGGTGTCTACATGCTGGAAGTCACGTACGGATTTTGGCAAAAACAGGGTTCCTAGTGGCTAATTCGCATGCAATCTGTTCATAGATGAAGACATTTTGATAGGGCATCCTGTCGGGTCGGAGTAATCTCTGGCCTTGACCAGTACACGTGAATTCCAGGAAGATTTCGACAGAGCATCCAGTAGTGCACGTACATAGTGCGATGTGGAGTCTATAAAGCAGCCTGAGATGGAATGAGAGTTGGGAAAAAGCTGAGATTGTCTGATGATATGTTGTACTGAGGACAGCATGTGGATTCGATCTGTCAAAATAAACGCCTTTTCCCCCGTCCTGTGGGCAGATGAGATAATCGACTGAAGGCGTCTTGATTTTTGAGATTCTACCATTTGAGCCCCAACAATTCATTTTGCACTCTCAACTCTTCAGTATTTTATTTGTTAAAGTTTGAAATAACCAATAAATTTTTCCCACTTGTTGTTGCTTCTTCAGAAAAATAACACCAAATCAAAATACTGCATATTTGCACCATATATATCAATGCTCTGAATTTCCATATCAATGCATTTTTCCACCATGTTTTTTACCACAATGTTTACATTTGATCACTGCTGCATTTTATTGTATGGAAATCTTCATTTACTGTTTGAAAAGCTGTACTAAACGAAATTTATAAAAGTTGTCTAAGTCTAAGTTATGATAATTTTATATCTTTATGTTTGAATCCTGAAAAATGGCAAAATGTGGAAAGGTTCAAGGTTGCCAAATAATATTTTCCCTCACTAATTGGTATTTCTTAGCAATAAAATAGTATTCTTTTGCCAGAAATTAATGTTGTGGGAAAACACAACCTTTTCTGTGACCCCACCCTTTCACTCCCACCTCGTTTTAGTTTTCCTGATCTGTTTTCCATTTCCACAGGTGGAAATACAGTGACCTCTCCAACTCCAGTCACCTTTAAGCGTTTCAAACGTTCAAATCAGATCACTTTAATCTACAGTCAGGGGGGGAAAGGGATACTGTGTGGATGTCATTTAACAAGGCTTTTATTTATACATTGATTAGATTAATTAATAAATTATTCATTCTAAATTAAAACAAATTGATGAATATAAACTTTAAAAAAATGTGCTTATAACCAGGATGAGCTGATTATTCACATGTACTTTCTAGCTTAAAGACATATTGAAAATAATTTTCGCGTTAAAATAATCAACAAGTAGTGATCAGCTGACTGGCTGACAATATGGCTGCTGGTTTCCAGAGATCTCATCTGAGTGAGCAGTGACACTGGCCTAGATTTAAAGGTCTAATACTGTTTTGATAAATTGACTACACAGATTAAGTTTTTGGTGTAATTTTTTGCTTCAAGATCTATTAAAATATATTTTGTTACAAACTAATGGTAGATAAACAACATCTGTACACTCACCTTCATTGGTTACTTACTTTTAATAAGCCACAAGAATCTTCAATAATCCTATATGTCTTAAAGGAAGCACGGCCCTGGGCCATGTTTATGGAAATGCTACCAAGGTTTTTTTTTTTTTTTTTTTTTTTTAACAGGCTTTTAAGTTACAATGGAAAAGTTACTATAAATATTTCCATCCCTCTGCTGCTCTTCCAGACAAGTGAAGCTCGAGGAAGAGCTGGAGAACTTGGATCAAATGGTGCAGGAAGTACATGAGCAGATGCTTCTCACTGATTTAAAGTATATATTCCGGAAAGTATCTGACATCACTAAGTAAATTGCACGTTGGTAGTCAGGACTTCTTACTTCTCTTTTAATAGCCCTGCAGATAACTTGATTAAGACAAAGATGACACGAATGCATGGCAACCACCATCATAACATGGGCAATAACATTGGCAGAGAAAGTCCAGCAGAGGGAGCAAGAGACACACATGGGGGTTCTGACGTCATATTTTGTTCTGCTGATGAAAACGAGGCAAGATATTAACCAACTTCTTATTCTCCTTGTGTCATTCTAAAACATTCAACTGCACACAAAGACGATGGAGAAATTAAAGAAAATGTATCTTAGAACCCTACTCAACATAGATTTTGTTCCTTTGATACTGCTTTCATGTAAGGGAGATAATTTTCCTTAACAAAAGCTTTTTCATTTAGGAAAACATAAGTGCTTTTGTTTTTTTATGCAACGGTCTTTATTGGTGAAAAATATTTTTGTATT